ATATGGTCCTTAAAGATAACTCAACCTAGTTATCTTTAACCTAGTCACAAAATGACAAGGCACGTTAAAATGGTAGTGAGTTCATTTAGTATATCATCAAGGATGAAAATGTTTAGCACAGAAATAAGCATATTGCAGGACTATAAACAGAACAACATCCAGGAAGCAGGATTTGCCAATATCTGTAGAAATTACAAACATACCCTTTGATCTAGGACTTTCTTCTCTAGAAAATTATTTTACACACACACACACACACACACACACACACACACAGGATGGATGTTCATACAAGTAATTCGTTACAATATAATTTGACTTTGCTGAAGACTGAAAGCGCCATAGTTTTCCACCAACGGGGGGCCAAGTACTTTATAGAATAATATACTTCCAATTGGAAGACCATGGAGTCATCAGTAAGAATAGAGAATGTTTCCTATGTACTGATTGATCCAGAAAGATCTCCAAGGAGGGCTTAGTTCATAGTAATGCACCAATATAACTTTCTTAGCTGTGACAATTGCGTCATGATGATGGAAGACTTTAATGATGAGAGGAGCTGGGTGAGGGATTTATGGGACTGGGGGAGCTCTGAGGAGGAGGTAAGTGTGTGCCTGGAGGATAGAACAGATGAGCTGGGACGTGGAAGACGAGTCTTTGAAATCAAGAATGTGCAACTCTCTCAAGCACCGTGGACGTGTTTTGCACAAAGTAGCAGCACAGTAGTGATAAATATGTGTGAAATGACAGGCTTTGCAGATCTCCATAGAAGCGAATGCACAAGTCGCGGGAATTTGCGTAAAGTTTTGCTTTAATTTTGGTAAAGGAAATGACATATATCTGTTTTTCTTCTCCCTGTATCTGCTCACTCACAACCAGAGGGAATGATAGTTCAAGAAACCAGAAGTGAGAGGTGAACAAAAGTTTGTTTTTCTCTCTAGGGACAGGGCCAAGTCAGCAAAGTGCTTCCCTAATGCGCCGTAGTGGGTTGGGGTGGGAAGAAAGTTGGAGTATCCCTGTGTCTGGCCCTTTCTTTCTGGACCCGGTGTCCAAGACCTTTCCCGTGTCCTCAAGTTTTTCTCATCCCTCCTTTATTTTGGAGGCACCCAGCCCTGCCAGGAAAAACAGGAGTGATGTTGGCGTCCGGTAGAATGCTGGCTCTTTGGGCTGAGCAGCTAGCATGCTGTGTTTTGGTGTTTGGGGGACTCAGATAAGGGGTCACCCGTGAGAGGCCACAGGGGAGGAGGAAGCCATTTCCCATGTGGGTGCTCCTGAGCTGGGTGAAGTCCGGAAGGAGAGGCAGGTGTAGGAAAATGTTGGGAGGACATGAACTTCCTCTTTTCAGCCCAAGGGGAACCACACTTTCTGCCACTTTTTGACGGTGGGGCTCTGGACAGTCTGGGCTAGTAAGAGCAGGAAGTGTCCGCACAGAAGTTGGGGTGGGAGCCCTGGGGTGCTTGAGACCACCCAGAGAGAGACCAGAAGGCTCCAGACAGAAATGTGAGAAAACCCCAAAATCGGATTAGCCTGTCCCTGACTGAACGAGTTAAAACCAGCTCAGATGGGGAAAGACAGACAGTACACCCAAAGTTCTTCAGCTGGTCGTGAGACAGATACAAAATTAAAAGGAAACCTCATTTCTCCCAAGGTCTTGCAACGGCTATAAAATGTCATCAAATGTCACCACTTGGAGTGGTGAATGCTTTCCTCCCATGACACTCCGAGTCTGGTTTTGCCATTCCCATCTAACTACTCAACACAGCATCCAATTCCTAGTTAACACCCATACTGGGCGAAGGGCCCAAGCATGAGGGGGCGGCACGTCCTGGAAGGTCCTGGACACGCTGACCAGCTTCATTGACCAGGATGTCACCAGACCCTTCCCCAGGCTCCTCCTACTCTGCACTGGGGCCCGGTAAATGGTTAACCTCCCGGGGGGGCGCTCCAGAGACACCCCGAAGTCATGTTGAGGAGCTGTCCTGACTGTGGTGCTGAAACAGGGTCTCCAGAGGCTTCTGTCCAGTTTGAGGCCAGGAGGGAAAAGGGGCGGGGATGGATGGAACCAGGGGAGAAGCTGACCATCGGAAGTGATGGGGAAGGGAAGCACTTCCTGGATACTTATTTCTGACTCCAAGTGATTCCTCTTTCTGGACTCACCTGACAGTGTCAGAGGGACTTGGAGAGGAATGAGCCTACCTGGCTGCCTTTTGATTCTGAGTTAGTATGTGGGAAACCACTGGTCTGAGTGTCTGTCCTCTGTTAGGTCAGCGACTGAGGTACCCTGCCTCTGTATTGCTCTCAACTAATTTTCTGTCTTCTTACCACTTTCCAGAACTCTCCATGGGTTGTCTCTTGCACCATTCATGGGGTTTATAGCTATGAGTAGAGGGGAGGTGCCGGGGACAATGGGTCCATGCCATCTGCTCTGGATTGGAAGTTTAAGCATCAATGTTTAATGTTTTTAGCGGACGGGTTGATCTGTATTGCTATAATGACACTGTGATGAACAGAAGTCTGACTCAGCTGTTCCTTCTGAATCTAGGGCAGAGGGTTTCAGGCGTTTTCTTATACCATATTTGTTTCCTTAGGGGTCACTTTATGAACATACTATATAGAGGCCCAGTGTATGAAATTCTTGCATGGGAGTGGGGGGGGGGATCCCTCAGACCAGCCTGAACCCTCTCCAATCTGGGACTGCTGGCTCCTAACCACTCACCTGCCTGCCTGATCACCCCTAACCACTCTCCCTGCCTGCATGATGCCCCTAACTGCTCCTCTGCTGGACTGATAACTCCTAACTGCTCTCTCCTGTTAGCCTGATTTCCCCTAACCACCTCTGCCTTGGCCCCTGCCACTGTGACTTTGTCTGGAGCTGCAAGTAAATTCTGGGCTGTTTTTGTTTAAAGTATTTTTAAGTTCAAATATTGGTTTATTTTCAGGAGGAAGATTACGAGCTCCTGCTTTTTCCTTCATTATTTCAACCCAGACACATATTTTGGAGCCCATTTTGAAGGCTAAGAGGGTGTTACCCAGATGATGATTTGGTGAGGGGAGTTCCTGGAGGAGGGATGTGGATGCTCAGAGACAGGGAGGAACGCACCAGAACAAGGGTTCTTAGAGAATGGCTTGAGGGGTTGATGACTTAGGCTATGGTGATGGAAAAGTGGACTGCATGAGATTATGAATAACTCAGAACAGCCCTGGCTGGGTGGCTCAGTTGGTTGGAGCATTGTCCCATACGCTAAAAGGTGACAAGTTTGATTCCTGGTCAGGGCACATACCTAGGTTGTGGGTTCCATCCCCAATAAGGGTATACACAGGAGGCGACCACTTGATGTTTCTCTTTCACCTCTCTCTCGCTCTCTTTCTCTCTCTCAAAATCAAATAAAAATATCCTTGATGAGGATTTTTTTTAAAAAAAAGGATAACTTAGAGCAGAGGTCAGAGAACTATAACCGGGGGGGGGGGGGGGTGGCTTCCTACTTTTGTAAATAAAATTTTGTTGAGACACAGCCACATTAATTTATTTTCAGATTGCCTATGGCTGTGTTTGTACTGCAAACAGAGATGCCTAGTTGCAACAAAAACCACACAGCTTGCAAAGCCTAACATATTTGCTCTCTGTCCCCTTACAAAGTTTTTTCACTGATTTGTGATCTAGAATGTCAAATTGAGAGGCTTGTCAATGGGTCTTTTGGGCTGAGGTGAGAGAGCAGTCTTTTGACTCTGAGTTTTAGGAAATTCTATAAGTGTTAGTAAGTGATTTTGCCCGTAGCAGGCAGGCAGGATGGACAGGAAAGATTCAGGAGTGGAGGGAGGTGATGGGAAGGGATCCACAGAAGGAATCTGCGTAGAGAGTGAGGCTGACATGTTGCAATACAGTGTCCAGGACAGGACAGATTATACGCAGCGTCTGAGTGACGCCACTGACACCATCCCAGGGACGGAGAAGACGTGCATCAAACTCTCACAGCATACCAGGACTTTTGCAGGGTGTTTCCCATATGTACTTTTTAAAAATTATATATATATTGATTTCTCACAGAGAGGAATAAAGAGGGACAGAGAGTCAGAAACATCGATCAGCTGCCTCCTGCACACCCCCTATTGGGGATGTGCCCACAACCACAGCAAATGCCCTCGACCAGAATCAAACCTGGGACCTTTCAGTCCGCAGGGCTCTATCCACTAAGCCAAACCGGTTAGGGCTCCCATATGTACTTTTAAAAAACATCTTTTTAAAAGAAGAATATCTTACCTGTTGAGACAGCCTGGAGGGACCTGGAGAATGTCATGCTAAGTGAAATAAGTCAGTCAAGGGAAGACAAGTATCACATGCTCGCACTCATGGGTAGAATCTACGTAACAAAATAAACTGATGAACGGAGTGGATCCAGAGACATGGAAGCATGAAACAGAGTGCAGAATCTCAGAGGGAAGGTGAGGGAGAGTGTGTGGATAGGGAGGTAATCAATGAAAGAACTTGTATGCATATTTGCATGACCCATGGACACAGACAATAGGTTGCTAAAGGTCTTGGGTGGGGGTGGTGGTCGGGGGTGGGTTGGAGGGTGTCAATGGGGGAATAAAGAGGACATATGTAAGACTTACAACAATTAAGAATTCTTTAAAAAAAAAGAAAAAATATCTTTTTAAATTGATTTCAGAGGAAGGAAGAGGGAAAGATAGAAACATCAATGATGAGACAGAATTGAGCCCACAACCCAGTCATATGCCCTGACCAGGAATTGAACCATGTCCTCCTAGTTCATAGGCTGATACTCAACCACTGAACCACACCAGCCAGGCACCATATGTATTTTTTTAAAAATTTTTTATTGACTGGAGAGAGAGAAAGACATCGATTTGTTGTTCCACTTATGCATTCATTGGTTGGTTCTTCTTTTAAAAATATTTTCATTGATTTTTTTCTTTGAAAGAAAGAGAGGAATAGAGAGAGAGAGAGAAAGAGAAACATGGATGCGAGAGCAGGGCATTGATCAGCTGTCTCCTGCACGGCCCCTACTGGGAATCGAACCGGAAACCTGGGCATGGAATCAGACCAGCAACCTTTCAGTGCACGGGACGCACTCAACCAACGGAACCACACCAGCGGCGCCATTGGTTGACTGTTGTGTGTGCCCTTACTGAGGCTCACAGCCTTGGCGTAACAGGACAACACTCTAGCCAACTGAGCCGCCGGCCAGGTTCCATGCGTACTTTAATTTAATGCTCACAGCAACCCTGCGATGTAGAACTTCTTATGCCTGATCACAAATCAGGGAATCAAGTCCCGGAGGAGTAAGGTGGCTCAGGTGGTGTCATATTTTTCTTAATCGACAGAAAGAGCATGAACTTGCTCCCAGGTCTCTCTGATTGCAATGCCTAAGATAGTTCCAACATACCAGGAAAGGCATATACAGTAGTTTATAAACCCACTGCCTGTGGGGGATGTGAGCTCTCCAAAAGTCAGCTGGTAGGTAGGTCCCCCTTCCTCCCAGAGGATATGGACATTTCGGCCTCTCACTGGGTCCTGACATTTGAGTATTCTGGTTCGGTGTTTGCCTGAGGAGGGTTCTTCCCCTGAAAGCGGAGGGAGGCATAATACACCTCTGGCTCCACCCTCAAGGTCGGGGCTGCCCCTGCAGAGCTAGTGGAGTCAGCCACCGGGCTGTCTAACTCCGGAGTCTTCTGGTGACCCTGTGTGGAAAACAAAGAACAACAGAGTCAAAACAGGGCGGGGACAGCGGGAGGAGTTCCTGCAACGAATTTGATTGTAATAGGATCTTTGTTCATTCTCCCATTTTTTAAAATAAATTTTTAAAATTTATTTTTTGTTAATCCTCACCTGAGGATATCTTTTTCCATTGATTTTTAGAGAGGCGGGGAGGGAGAAAGAGAGAGAGAAGGAGAAACATCGATGTGAGAGAGACACATCTATTGGTTGCCTCCTGCATGCACTCCGAATGGGGCGGGCATGGAACCCATAACCCAGGTACGTGCCCTTGATCAGTAATTGAATCCACAACCCTTCTGTACATGGGCTGACACTCTAGCCACTGAGAAATATCGGCCAGATCATTCTTTCATTCTTTTATTGAATATTTCTCAATGTCCCATTTAATCACTTATCCAACAAAGATAGCTCTTATTGGTTGCTTTCCAATTCTAGTGACCACTCACACAGACCTTTGTGGGAAATACTATTATTTTACAAAGAAAGACAGTAAGTCTCAGAGAAGTTAGTTACTTCTCAAGAGCACACATCTACTGGTCATGAACTCAACCCCTGGTCTCTCAGAGCTCTCCTATGTGCCAAACACTGGATATGCAGGGAGATGTTTATGAAAAAGAACTTCTCCTTCTGTGTGTCTCTCCTTTATTCCCTTTAAAAAAAATCCTCCCCCATGGATATGTTTTTATTGATTTATAGAAAGAGAGGGAGGGAGAGAGAAACATCGATCTGTTGCCTCCCATAAGTGCCCCAATCAGGCATCTAACCTGCAACCTTTTGGTGTATGAGATGACACTCTAACCAACTGCGCCACCCAGTCAGGGATCTCCTCTACTTTTACACCAAGCAATTCTTTGACATCAGCTGGACATCCTACAAGTGGACTCAGTTGTGACACCATCTACTTGAAGATATTGTCAGATCCCACAGATTAAAGGCTCAGTCCCACAAGATCCCCCATCCCCACTGCCACTTCAATTGCCAATCACAAGTCCAGGTTGCCACCTGTGCTTCTGACCAACTGGCTGTAAATCAGAGGTCCCCACGATTCCCTCCTCAAGTTCAATTAATTCGCTAGAGTGACTCACAGGATTCAGGGTAAGTAGCTATAGAACAACTTGTTATGGAAGGATGTGATATAGGATACAGATGAGCATCTGATGAAGAGATGCATGGGCCCAGGTATGAGGGAAGGGCAAGGAGCTTCTATGTCTCGCCAAGTGCATCAACTTGAAATCTCCCTCAGCCCCATACTCAGCATTTTTATGCAGGTTTCATCATGTAGACATGATCAATAATTAATTCCATTTCCAGCCCTCTCCCCTCTCTGGAGAATGGAGGATGGAGCTTAAACGTCTAAGCTTCTAATTGTAGCTCAGTCTTTCTTGTGACCAGCCCCCACCCAGGAATCCACAAGAGTTGCCTCATTACACCCTGGCTGGTGTTCTCAGTGGTTAGGGTGCCAGCCGAGCACTAAAGGGTCATGGGTTGAATTCCTGTCAAGGGCAGGTACCTGGGTTGCAGGTTTGATTCCTGGCCCCAGTCTGGCACCTATGGGACGCAATAAATTGGTGTGTTTCTGTTTATCTCTCTCTCTTTTTCCCTCACCCTTGCCCTCCCTTCCTTCCACTCTTTTTAAAAAATCAATGGAGAAAATATCCTCAGGTAAGGATTAACAACAACAACAAAAATGTTGCCCCATTAGAAAAAAAAAAAGAAACTCTTCTATCACTCTGGAAATTCCAAGGGACTGAGGAGTACAGCCATTTTCTGCTATAGACTCATTCCTTGGCTCCAGAGTTACTGCAACATTTCTCAAACGAGGCTTTCACTTCCTCTTCCTCCGTTCTCTCTTGAACTCAAGCCAATGAAGATATCTGCCTCTGTAAGGCCACCATATCTTCCTTTGACCAGATCAGTTCTGATGCCACTTACTAAGTTTAAACCAGTGGTTCCCAATGTGGGGCACATGCCCCACGGGGCAGAGGGGGTGAATTTGATTTTAAGGGTGGCAACTGGGGAATGAGTTATTAGCAGTGAATTTTTTGCATTTCTTCTGGTTCTAGGGGCCTTATATATAGTATATAAATATATATTGTGATGTATTTATGCATTTCAGTTCTATATTATGTGTTTTGAAACTTTGCTATTTTTTTATATCACTTTATATTACTGTTTTTTAAAAACAATTTCTGGAGAACCAAGATGGCGGCATAGGTTAACGCCGGAGTTTGCTGCTTTGAACAACTACTTCAAAAGTGAAACCAAAAAACGGAAGGGACATCACCCAGAACCACAGGAACGCTGGCTGAGTGGAAGTCCTACAACTAGGAGGAAAGAGAAACGCATATGGACACTCAGAGGAGGCACAGTGCTGAAGTCAAATTCTGAGGTGCGGAGTGCGCGGAGCGGGCTGGCGGCGGAGGGCGCGGTTGGCATTTTCAATTGGGAGGGAGTCGCAGACTCTGAGCTCCAGATCCGGGCGAGTCTTTAGTGACCCAGACTCAAACGGGAGAAGCGGGACTGTCTGGCTTCGGTCAGAGCGAGTGCAGCTTTCTCTCTGAGCTTTGCAGCGGGTGCTGGGACTCAGAGAGGCAGAGCCCCTGGGGACAGGACTGAGAGCCGCCATAACTGCTCTCTCCGGCCCACCCTGTTGATCCTGTGTGACCCGCCCCGCCCAAGCCCTGCACAGAGGCATTTGCCGGATAGCCTCAGGCAAAGGCTAGATTAGCACCTCCCTAGAGGACAGAAGTTCTCTCACTGCTGACACAGCTGATTCTCATAGCCACTTGGCCTGGAGGTCAAACCCTCCCTGGAATTAGCTACAACAATCAAGATTTAACTATAAGACTGCGAACAAAGACCACTAGGGGGTGCACCAAGGAAGCATAACAAAATGCGGAGACAAAGAAACAGGACAAAATTGTCAATGGAAGATATAGAGTTCAGAACCACACTTTTAAGGTCTCTCAAGAACTGTTTAGAAGCCGCTGATAAACTTAATGAGATCTACAAGAAAACTAATGAGACCCTCGATCTTATATTGGGGAACCAACTAGAAATTAAGCATACACGGACTGAAATAACGAATATTATACAGACTCCCGACAGCAGACCAGAGGAGCGCAAGAATCAAGTCAATGATTTGAAATGCGAGGAAGCAAAAAACACCCAACTGGAAAAGCAAAATGAAAAAAGAATCCAAAAATTCGAGGATAGTGTAAGGAGCCTCTGGGACAGCTTCAAGCGTACCAACATCAGAATTATAGGGGTGCCAGAAGATGAGAGAGAGCAAGATATTGAAAACCTATTTGAAGAAATAATGACAGAAAACTTCCCCCACCTGGTGAAAGAAATGGACTTACAGGTCCAAGAAGCGCGGAGAACCCCAAACAAAAGGAATCCAAAGAGGACCATACCAAGACACATCATAATTAAAATGCCAAGAGCAAAAGATAAAGAGAGAATCTTAAAAACAGCAAGAGAAAGAAACTCAGTTACCTACAAGGGAATACCCATACGACTGTCAGCTGATTTCTCAACACAAACTTTGCAGGCCAGAAGGGAGTGGCAAGAAATATTCAAAGTGATGAATACCAAGAACCTACAACCAAGATTACTTTATCCATCAAAGCTATCATTCAGAATTGAAGGTCAGATAAAGAGCTTCACAGATAAGGAAAAGCTAAAGGAGTTCATCACCACCAAACCAGGATTATATGAAATGCTGAAAGGTATCCTTTAAGAAGAGGAAGAGGAAGAGGAAGAAAAAGGTAAAGATACAAATTATGAACAACAAATATGCATCTATCAACAAGTGAATCTAAGAATCAAGTGAATAAATAATCTGATGAGCAGAATGAACTGTTGATTATAATAGAATCAGGGACATAGAAAGGGAATGGACTGACTATTCCTGGGGGGAAAAGGGGTGTGGGAGATGCGGGAAGAGACTGGACAAAAATCGTGCACCTATGGATGAGGACAGTGGGTGGGGAGTGAGGGCGGAGGGTGGGGCGGGAACTGGGAGGAGGGGAGTTATGGGGGGGGAAAAGAGGAACAAATGTAATAATCTGAACAATAAAGATTTAATAAAAATAAAATAAAATAAAATAAAAACAATTTCTTAGTGATTTCTTCCTCAGTACTTCAACTGCCCTTTCATTCTTTTATTTTTCTATTTCACGGATGCTATGTTCTTTGGAATCTTGTTTAGACCATTTAATGGCCTTTTAGGCTTCCTCCACGTGAATAGGAGTTCACTTTTTGAATAATAAGAATTATATGTCACAGGGGTAGAAGGGTATCAGGATTTTAGAGATGCTTAAGTGCGGAGTGGCCAAAGAAAGGTTGGGAACCACTGATTTAAAGTCATTTCTCAGACCCTATTTTACCAGACTTATTAGCATTTGAAAAAAGGTGAGCACTCTCGCCCCCTTGAAGTTCCATCCCCACGTGGCCACCAGGACCCAACTCTACACTCTCCTGGTGAATTATTTTTTTTCAGTGATCTTTTTGCTCTTTCCACCACGTCTCCCTGACTCTAAGTGCTGGAGGGCCCCAGGGCTCTGTCCGCAGGCCCCTTCTTTCCTTGCTGGATTCATCCACTCTCAGACCTTCATGTGGGAGACCCCCAAATCTCCGTGCCTCCCACCTGGACCCCTCTCCTGAACTACAGACTCCGGCCATCTACTTGTCATCTTCACATAAACATCTCAGAAGTGCCTCAAACTTATCGTAACCAAAACAAAGTTTGACCGCCTCTCAAAAACATACTCTTCCTGCAGAGTTGGTAATTTCAAGAATTGGTACTTCAATTCTTTAAGTTTCTCAGGGCAACCACATTAGAATCACCCTTGGTATCTATGGACATTTGTGGACATCTATGGCTATCTATGGACCCCTCTCACATCGTGGGACATCTGTGACTTCCATGAATATATCCATGACAATCAATGGACATCTCTGACCGTCTTTGAATATCTATGACATTTCTGGACATCTATACTATCCATAGAGTTATCTTTGACATCTATGGACATCTATAAGTATTAAGAGCATTTATGACTAGAGATAGACCTCTATGACATCACTGGACACCCATGACATCTATGGAGTCCTCCTTGATATCTATGACACCTATGAGATAAAGGCAGTGAGCTCACACCCAAGTGTACCCTAACATTCTATTGGCAAATCCTGTTGACCCCACCTGCAAAATGTATCCAGACTCCAACTGCTTCACACCAGATCCATCACTCATGCCCTGATTAAGTCTGTTTTATGGACTGAACTGTGTCTCCCAAATTCATATGTTGAAGCTTTAACTCCCAATGTGACTATATTTGGTGATAGGGCCTTTAAAGAGGTACTTAATTTTTTAAATGGGGCCATTAGAGTAGGACCCAATATGACTTAAGTCTTCATAAAAAGAAGAGAGCCCAGGAATGCATGGGCACAGAGAAAAGGCCATGAGAGAGCAAGAAGGTGGCCATCTGCAAGCTCAGGAGGGACATTTTACATTTGTAACGTAATGATTTGTAAAAATACAGATATTGACAAGTGGGAGATATTGGCCGAAGGAAAAGATAAATGCATGGGTGATGGCTGATCGTCTGCTCAAAAACCTCACAGTGGTACCCACATAAGTTAGAGTTCGATGAGAGTCAGAAGTTGGAGGATGAGCAGGAGCAGGGTGGGTTGAGGCAGGCATGTGAAGAGGAGGGGACAGCCAAGCGATGATTCTGAGATGCAAAAAGTTTACTTTGTTGGAGGCAAATGAGCAGGCGAGTGTGGGAGGCACAAAGCATGGAAAGTGACTGGTTTTTCCTGCCTCAAATGCCAGATCAAGTTGTCTGGGTGCTCGGCAGTGTGGAGAACCAGTGCATTTCAGACTTGGGTGTGATGTGGCAGTGCTGGGGAGGAGAGGCAGGAGGGCTTCAATAGACATGCTTTGCAGTGTATTAGTGCAGAAAGAGCTGGTGGAGGACTGGGCAGGACAGGGCTGGGTCCCTTTTGGATTTCAGGGACAAGAATACCATTGGTGAGATGGAGAGACCAGCAGAAGTGTATTTTGGGGGTGTATTAATCATGTGCATTTTATGTCCTGATATCTGGGGCTTTGATAACCCTAGAGAAACTGTCCCTGCCAGGACTAGATAATTGCTAGAGATAGTAAAGGACTTGCCTCTAAGTGTGACTTTCATATTGCAAACCAACCAGTCCAATCCAAACTCCATGCCTCCAACCATCTCCTTTATGGAACTCTTACACTTCCGACCAGGCTCTCCCTGCCCTAATCACACCAGGACCAGGGACCAGACAATGAGAGACAGCCCCTACACCCCAGAGCCTGTTGAAATTATTCAAACTAGATAATCCTAAGCCTGCTTCCCCTGCCTCACCTCACCTTCCCCATGGAAACCACCATCAAGGTTCCTGCCCACATTTTCCCCTTCACTCCTTCTGCCTCCTGACCGACCCTGGTGCTGCCCTGTGTGGCCCTGTGGTGTGACCTTTTGCCCTCCTCTTGGGAACTGTGAGGAACAAATCGACAAGTTGTCTCCTGATCTGTTGGCCTGACATACCTGAATAATAAGAAAACCTACATTTTCCAAAAGAGTGGGAAGGTGAAGAGCTCATTTCTGGACATGCTTAATGCAATGCAAATGTGGGCCACCCAGGAAGTGGGGGCAGGGTTGCATGCCAGGATGTCCATGTTACTCACCAGGGAAGCTGGCCCCATGGCAGTGTGGATGTTGTCCATGCCCATGGCTGTCCTGGCTTTCTTCCCGTGGGTCTTCACTCTGTTGGGAGACACCAGGGTCTTTGACACAGGGTCACTCTTTGAGGCTGGAGTGACTAGGGAAGGTCAAGGGTGGGGCAAGACCAGGAGCCTTCATAACAAGACTTTGGAACATGGTTTTCCCCCACACCTCCTGATTCAAGCCTGGCTCAGTGGCTACGGGCTGGATTCTCACCACCACGGCACCCCTTACCCTTGCTCAGGGCCCTCACAACCTCTCCAGGTCCCTATTCTCCACCCCTGGCCCACACCTGTCCCATCTCACACAAAATAGATGAGGCAGAGACAGCCAGCCAGCAGTGCAGTGACACCGGCTCCCCCGACGGCCGCCCCAACCACATCTGCCCTCGTCCTTGGTTCCACTGCAGACAAGAGAGACATGGGTGAACTCCAAGCTTGATGAGCAGGCATGTATCCCCTCTTCTCAAGCAGGAAGAGATGGGTTCCCCTCTCCTTCCATCCAGGGCTGAGCAACTAGGTCCTCCAGAACCATGGGGTGAAGGACACGGTCTACGTGACATCTCCTATCCAGTCCCCACACTCCTGTGCAGCAAACCTCATCTTTTCTAGGACCTGGGTTCTTCTCCATCTAGGGTTTCCCTGCCACAGACCCCAGAGCTGGCTGTAGTAGGATCTTGAGCCTCAGTGTCCCATGGTCACTCCAGGGAGAGACACACACAGAGCGCTGTGGGTTGCTGAAAGACCTCTCTTCTTCCTTCCTAGGAAGGTGTCAGAATCTTCTCTCCTGGCCTCCACTGGCCCTGTCACTCAGGGTCAAAGGTGGTCTTTTGTGCCTCCAGAAGAAGGTGAAATCCAGGTTCTCAGACCTTCGGGTGAGACTCAGAGAGCTCTCCTGGTCTTGTTTGGCCATGCCTCCCAGGAGCCCTGGGGTCAGGGATGTGTCTCTGAGCATCACCTGTTGCAGTCTGATGGAACTGCTCAGAGAGTCCTAACAGGGTCACTGACCAGTCGGGGTGGGGACCAGATGCCATCACCAATGGGAATAGGGCAGGAGGAGGATAGGGCTCCAGAGACAGGTCAAGGTGAGGGCCAAGGGGAGGGCCGGCAAAAAATAGAGATTATCAGAGAAGTGAAACTGCTCTACATGACACTATAATGGTGTACACATGCCATGATACAATGTCCAAGCCCATCGAGTGTACAACACCAAGAGCAAACCGTAATTTTGAGTTTTAGTTGACAATGATGTGTCAGTGTCGGTTCATTGATTGTACAAATGTCCCCTCTGGTGGGGGATGTGCGTGTGAGGGAGGGTGTGATAGGTTTAGGGGAAATCTCTCTGCCTTCTGTCTCCTGCTCAATATTGCTGTTAATTTATAACTGCTCTTAAAACTAAAGTCTACTCTAAAATGCCCCAAGGCATTTGTAACTGGGGGAAGATAAAGAGCATCTGTTAGGATGGGCAAGGAGAAGGTTGTGGTCACTCTGGCCAGACAGCAGTTGGAGGGTATTGGGGAAGAGGTCAGATAGAGGTGCTCATGTTTAACCGCACCCACACCCCCCTGCTGAACTCTGAAGTCCAGCTCTGAATCACCCAGACAGAGACCTATGTCAGTCAATGCCCCATGACAGAAGGCTCCTTCCCACCTGCACTGTCTCCTAGGCAACCACCTGGTGTTGGGTTCTCCGTGGCACCTAGGACAGGAAGAGAGGAATTCCTTCTTCAGTGGGCTGAGATGGAGTAAGGATCATTAAGGCATTCCCGCTCCACCCTCAGAGACCACAGAAATGCAAGAGGGACAGGGCTTTCTCGTGCAAGTCACCTACACAGCAAGGTCCCCAGGCCAAAAGCACCGACCACACCTGCCTGGCCCTCCTGCTCTGCACACCCTCAGGGACTGGCTGTTCCGACCCAGCACTCACAGGTGACGTTGAGCTGGATGGTTGTCTCCACGGTCACACCAGTGGCAGGAAAATGCACCTGACAGGTGAGGTTAGTGCCATGGTCCTGGGGCTGTGGGGTGAGTGTGAGCACGGAGGAGAGGCGCGTCCTGGGGCCCAGGGAGCTGTGGGCAGCTGACGTCCAGGAGAAGATGGGGGGCGTGCCCCTCTCACAGGCCCAGGGCACAGAGCAGGTCAGGTTCCTGGGGAGGCCGCTCTCCAGGGTCTCCGGGATGAAGATGTGGGGTGTGTGGTTGAGGGCTGGTGAGGAGGGGGAGACAGGGGATCAGGAGGGAGAGTCCCAGGTGCAGCCCTGAGAGCAGCCTCGGGCTTTGGTCCAGCTCCTGCCTCTGAGCCCAACACACTGTACCCCGACCCCCTCCCAGGATGGGGTCCCATCCCAGCCCTGTCCGGGGCCACCGTGAACTTCTCCCAAGGCCTCTCCTGGAGCCCATTCCTTACCCGTCACTCGCACGGTGAGCATGTCCTGTGTGTAAGAATATTTAAACTCTTGGTAACCTGCCCTCTCCACTCGAAAAAAATATAATCCGTCATCTGTCCTCCGGGCATCTCTGATGTCCAGGGAGCAGTTCTTGGTCTGGGGATCCCCGAGGAGGTGGAATCGGCCCTGGGTCTCCTCCAGCACATTACGAGTCTGGTTGTTTGTGGCCACAGCAGCATCTGTGTCTGCCTTAGCTCCTTCTGGGAACCAGGAGCCATATGTAGTGATAGAATTCCCATAGAACCACAGGGCAGTGAAGGTGCAGGACACAGAAACACACAGGCCCTCCTGCACTGTCACAGGTGTCTGCACTGTCACCGTGTATCTTCTATCTTGGAGAGCCAGGGATCCTGCAGGAAAAGGAGGGTCAGCCACAGCCCCCACCCTACACCCCCTTCTCCTCTCATACACTCACCTGCCCACAGCAGGGGCAGCAGCCACAGCATCTCTGACATGGAGGGTTTCTGGGCTCCTGTGGGTGAAAAAAGAATCAAGACAGTGGGAGAGGAGACCGTGGTGAGACCACGGAAGCTGGGGAGGAGCACGAGATCTCGGCCGTTCACAAAAGAGGAACCTCAGAGTGCAAGCCCTTCCTCTCTCTGCACAGAGCAGGCAGACACCCCACAGCCCAGGACAGACAGAAAGCCAGCCCCGCGTCCTGCCCAATCTCGGGTCTTTCCTGCAGCTCCAGAGCAGAGCCAGAACCACTGAGGACATCTGAGGAGGGGACACAGGAGTCTCCTAACGTCCTCCCATTAGGGGCTTTTCTGAGCTCTGGTGTCTACACCAGGCATGTAAATGTACAGTTGGGTCTTAGGTAAAGTGTCAGGGGCAGCCATTATGTCAGGAATTCATTCATTCACTCACTCATTCATTCATTCACTCATTCATTCATTCACTCACCCATTCTCTCCCTCATCCATTCATTCTGCACAGAGTGGGAGGACACCCCACAGCCCAGAGATCCTCAGACACGGGTCCATCCAGCATGTTCTGGACCTGGGTGAGGCCCGCCTGACCTATGAGGGTGAAAGCAGGGGCCTCTGCAGATCCGAGGCTTGCCAGACCACGGGTGGGTGTCTGAGTCCTGCACAGGCAGAGTTGTTGTTGGTGCCTTCAGTGGGCACTGGGGAGTTGTCATGCATTTACCCATTCATTCATTCACCCATTCACTCACTCTTTCATTCACCCATTCATTTAGTCACTCACTCACCCACTCACCCATTCATTCATCCATTCATGCATTTACCCATTCATTCATTCATTCATTCAGCCATTCATCAATTCATTCACCCATTCAATCATTCACTCATTTGTTTATTCATTCACTCATCGATTCACTCACCCCACAAACAGACTGAGCCTGTGCCCTGTGTGGGCGCTGGAGGAGAGAAGATGTGCAGATGCCCTCTGTCCACGCTCAGCGATGCTCCCCATGGCGGCGGGCGGGCGGGGAGGGGGGGGCAGATGACCCTAGGACCTGCCTGGTAGAGGCCATGATGGTGCTACAAGGCTGCGGCCATGACTGGAGGCCCCGCTGGCTGGTGGCTCTTGGGCACAACAGGGCAGACTGGACGTGGCCTGGACTCTGAGGGGACAAGGAGGAACATTCCCAGCTATGGGACCTGCTGTGGGCCCAGGGACAGTGAGGGGGTGAAGTCGCTGAGGGCGGTGGGTAGGAAGCGCTCTGCTTTCTCCCTGCTCACATGACATCGGCCCCCAGGTCTGGCCTCCTTTCTCACTTCCCTTCCTCCTGCCCTGTCACCTCTGCTGGAAGCCATCCCTGGGCACCAGGGGCGCTAGCTCCGGCAGTGCAGCCGCCCACCTCTTCTGAAGCCATCCCTCCCTCTTTGTCATCAACTCTCTGACCCTCCACGTAGTGACCGGCCTGTCCATTCTCCCGGCATTCCCTGTGCTGGAGCTGGGGGTGGACAGACAGACACACCCTGACCCCTGGCCAGGCTACTGTGGGGGCGAGTGCAGGGAGCTCTCAGCAGCTATACCAGGGAAGCTCAGCTGCTGTTGCCCAGCCCTGGGCTCGCTCACATCCCCCTTCCCGTGTCTCTCTCCCCAGAACCCCAGTGCTGCAGCCACACACGAGACAGGCCCCAGGCCCTTCATCCAGGACCAGGCCCCCCAGGACAAGCGCCCCGCCCCACCACCACACACACACCCCTGTGTGTCCCCCGCATCCCTGAAGCTGAACCGGAGAATAAGGTAGAGCTGTTGGACCCCATCCCGGCTGAACTGGGGTCCCCATTGGCCTGGAGTAGCCATCCTCTGCTCCCTTCCCCATCCTCACTTATATCTCCCAAGCAGGAGCAGCTCAGACCCCAGCTTTCTCTCGCCCCGCCCCCCCAAACCCCCCATGCAAGGAGACCTGGGCTCCCACAGGTGCCATGCCAGAAGGTGAGCTCCCCAGGTCTCCAGCCCTGCTGCCCGGGACAGCTCCGCACCTGGGCAGGGAGGACTGGCAGGGCTCAGGGCGTGGCCTCTGACATTCATATCATCTCCTAGTCCCCCAACCTGGAGCGAGGACACCCTCTCCCCGGGTCCCGGGAAAGGCTGCGCTCCTGGCAGTTCACATGGAACAGACTAGGTGCACAGCAGTATATGAGTTTAGGGGGTAGGACCCCCCACCATGCAGGCCCAGCGGGCTGCCCCGGAGGAGGCAAGGGCAGCGTGAACACGACCCGCTGTGCAGGAGGCTCTGCAGTGACAGGAGGGAGCGAGCCTGACTCCCAGGGCAGGATTGCACGGACTTGTTGATGTGACTCCGCGGGTGGACTGGGAACTCGGCCAGCGCAGGCTCCAGGCTCCGTGACAGCATCCTAGGACCCGCAGCTCAAAGGATGGAGCTGTGTTTCTTTCGGCTTTGGAGGCTGGGAGGCCCAGGGTCAAATGCCGGCAGATTGGGTTCCTGGTGTGAGCCCGCCTCTGGGCCTCACATGGCCTATGTTTTATTATTATTACTAGAGGCCCAGGGCATGAAAGTCGTGCATGGGGTTGGGGGGGGGGGAGTGTTCCCTCAGCCTGGCCTGCTCCCTCTCACAATCCAGGACCCCTCAGGGGATGTCTGACTGCAGATTGGGCCTAAACTGGCAGTGGGACATCCCTCTCGCAATCCGGGACTGCTGGCTCCTAACTGCTTGCCTGCCTGCCTGATGCCTGATCGCCCCTAACTGCCTCTGCCTCAACCCCCGCCACCATGGCTTCATGCAGAAGGTCGTTTGGCTGTCAAGTCTAATTAGCATATTAGCCTTTTATTATTATAGATTATTACATGTGGGGAGAGAAATGGAAGATCACTTTCTCTTCCTTTGCTTTCTTTTCTTTTTTTTTTCTTGTCAGATTTGGCTCTGAGGTTTTTTTGGTTTTTTCGGATTTTTGGTTTTTCTTTTAAATTGTCAAAAGTTTTACATAGGTCTCCTTTTTCTCCGATTGACCCCCCGCCCCCAGTCATTCCCATCCCGGGCAAGCCCCCACCCCCCAGTGTCTGTGTCCTCTCTTCCTTTCCTTATCAGGCCCTCAGTTTTAGAGGGCCACCGTCATGGACTCCTTTAATGTCACTCTTTCTGAAAGAACATTCCCGTTGGGGGTTAAGGCTTCAAGAGATGAATGTGGGGGGGAGGGGACCCAATTCTGTCTAGAACATCCAGGTTCCTGGGGTCCCCACCTTCCATCCATCCTTGTATTTATTATTTTATTGTATGTATTTTTATTGATTTCAGAGAGGAAGGGAGAGGGAGAGAGAGATAGAAACATCAATGATGACAGAGAATCATTGATCAGCTGCCTCCTGCACATCCCCTCCTGGGGATCGAGCCTGCAACCCGGGCATGTGCCCTGACCAGGAATTGAACCTGGGACCTTCAGTCTACAGGCCGAGGCTCTATCCACTGAGCCAAACAGATTAGGGCCAACCTTGTCCTTATTACAGGCGGTACCACACACCTGGTACGTGCAGAGAAAGCAAGCATGTAAGTAATTGCATCATTCCTTCTTCCCCGTTGAAAGAAATACGTCCATCTCCATCATCCAGGGGATATTCAAAGCACGGTTATATTTCCAGAGACTTGATTAAGGCGGGCTGCGGCCCTGAGGGCACCCTCCCCAGGCTCCTCCCAGCTCTGGAACCAGTAGCCACAGGCAGGTGCGGGTTTGCTCCAGCCACCCGCCCGAGGGCAGGAGATGGTGCAGGGTGCGGGGACGCACAAGCCCTCCTGTATCATCACTTCCAGCTTGAAATCCAGGTGCTGGGCCTGGGACCCCAGGGTGGGCGGCTCGGCCTCACCCCCTGCCCTTCCAGCTCACCCCAGATGCCAGGGGCAGGGGTCCCCTCTGGAGCGGGACCTCTCACACCCATTCCTGGTTTAGTCTGATGTCGAAGTTTCCTCTTTCAAGGAACGAAGAGCTGCAGAGCCCAGAGGAAGCCCCGACAATAAGGTGAGGAGGTTTCGGTGCACACAGGAGAGGAACCTCGGGCCGCTCTCCATCACAACCGCGTGTGCTGCCCTGGGAGACTTGCTCGCTTCCTCATTTCTCAGAGGCGGAGCCTGCGGTTCTGAGAGGGCCACAGGCAGGCCACCAGAGCCTGGGAGGGCAGCACCTGCCCCGTCTCTCTCCTGGCTCCTTCCCGTAGCCTGTCCTTTGCCACCTGCTCTCTGTACCAGCGACCGAGGCATCTGAATCCTGCTAAGAAGTGGAGAAAGAGGCCCCAGCGGGTTTGGCTCAGTGGATAGAGTGTCGGCCTGCTGAATGAAGGGTCCTGGGTTTGATCCAGGTCAGGGCACATGCCCGGGTTGCGGGCTGAATCCCCGATAGGGGCCGCGTGCAGGAGGCAGCCGATCAGATTCTTTCTCATCATCGATGTTTCTATTTCTCTCTCCTTCTCCATTCCTCTCTGAAATCAAGGGAGAGAGAGAGAAAGTGGAGAAAGGGGATGAAGCCACAAGCCATGCCATTACACAAAATGCACTCATGGCCTGGGCCCCTGGCCAGCCTCTCTCCACCACCACATGAGGGCGGGGCTGGGGGAGGGCTTGAAGGCTGCTGGGAACGCCCCTTCTAAGCCACAGTGCGGGTTTTCCTCTGCACTTGGCCTCCCGCGTTTGCTTTGGGCAGCACCTCCTCTGGTCCAGGCTGGTCTCTGTGGCTGTTTCTCTAGCTTTTCACAGGCCCCAGCACCCTGCAACTGTTCCTCTGAGCCACCGGGGGTCACCCAGAGGTCATGTTGTGTCTGGTACAAATGCGCAGGAAATGAGCTGGTATCTGTGTGCAGTAAGCTTAGTTACAGCTTCCCAGCAGCACCAGGGAAACCCACCCCCCCTCCCTCTCCCACTTCTTCTCTCTCTCCCCCTCCCCCTCTCTTCCCTTCTCTCTCTCCTCCCTCCCCCTCTCTCTCCCTCTCTCCCCTCCTCTCTCTTTTCTCTCTCCCTTCTCTCTCTCCCCAATCCCTCCTCCCCAGAGGTTCCTGACACCCTACTTTGCAACCACCTCCCATCCAATGCCCAGCAAACCAAATTAGAACCTCCTGGGAAACTTCAGCTCAGCCAAGAGAACCTGCAGAGGCAGAAATTCATGTTTCCGCCACCAGGTGGCAGCAGTGGCCCTTCCAGCTCTGGTCCTGTTCAACCAGCCATTGGAATCAGGGGAAAGGTCAGCCGAGACTTCCGTCATCAGCTGGAGCGGGTCCCGCTAATTGCTTGAAGCCAGTTCGTGTGAATACTTAGCATCGATTAATTACTCTTCTGACTACTTTATCCACAAAAGCCCCTTTGAGCTTTAGGACCACCCACTGAGGTCCAGAGTAATGATCCGTTTTCCACTGTAGGAGCGATAATGAGGTTCACAGATGTGTCTCTATTTTTCAAAAATAGATTTATTGAGGTACAGTTGATAGACAAAAAAATGGCACCCAGTTAATGCATGCAATGTGATGTGTTTGGACTTATGCATATACCCGTTGAAACCATGACCATAGTCAAGGTAAGAAATATATCTGTCACTTCTCAGTGTTTCCCTGTGTCTCTTGTTTTGGGGAGCTTTGTTTGTTTGTCGTAAGAAAATGTAAGCCCTGGCCGGTAGCTCAGTAGGTGAGAGCGTCTTCCTGATACACCAAGGTTGTGGGTTCGATCCCCAGTCAGGACACAGACAGGAAGCAACCAAAGAATGCGTAAATAAGTAGAACAAGAAATTGATCTCTCTCTCTCTCTCTCTCTCTCTCTCTCTCTCTCTCTCTCTCTCTCTTTCTCTAAAAAAACTTAATAAATAACCCAGCTGGCAGGAATCAGTGGTTGATCCTCAACCTATGAACCAGGAGGTCAAGGTTCAATTCCCAGCCAGGGCACATGCCCAGGTTGCGGGGTCCATCCCCAATGGGGTGCGTGCAGGGGACATCCAATCAATGATTCCCTCTCATCATGGATATTTCTATC